TCTATAAAGAATAAATTACAAAAAATGTGGGTGTGAGGAGTGAGGGCCAATACCACAGTTGTTGATGATAGTCTTCGACCCGTTGGTGTGCTTGTTACATTGCTATCAGAATATTTCACCTCTGGGTCTATATTTGATTCATTTAAAGCCATGTCAGAATGAGATTCATTGATATCCTAGACAATGGGAAAAGAGAAGCTTTAAAGAACATCCAGGAAAAGAGAATAGGTTATCAGCCGTATCATTCAAGTAAATAAGGTCAGATTTAGTTGACATTTCATCGTTTCGATTATATTGCATCAATTATGTTGTTACTTGCAATTTGTCCAACTTATTCTTTAGCTGTTGACTTGATGAACCGTAGATATTCTAAATGAAGAAAAATTTTAAAAAGAAAATTAAAACGCACAATAGAACTAATTCAAGAGCTTTAATACATACTCTATTATAACACATATCTTGATTGCATTTACAAAAGACTGTGCAAGATAAATTATTTTTGTAACAGTTGCAACGAGTGCAACTTCCTTTGCATTCACCACAAGTTTCAAATCGGTAATCAGTTAGTTGATCGTTTAATGTTGACCATTTGATCTTCATTTTATCTTGAGTATTTGAATAACCATAGCCATTACGAAACATTGCGGGTGCTATAAGGAATGGCTCCAAAGCGTCAAGCCAAAGTTTGATTTGTCTAGAACTTCTCAAACAATGTTCTTGAAATGCTATAGTAGAAGGTGGTAAGCTACCGGAAATATTTTTTCAATTGCGATCCTTTCAAAATACTCCATATAACAATCATCATGCTTTTCATTACGTGAAAATCACCAGCATACACAAATACATTTCGAAACATATCCGGTTCTTGACGTTTCACCTATCAGTAGAAAAAAGAAGTATATTGAAAGTATGGAAGAAAAATTCTTTTATACTTAACGCACCTTCACACATGATCGATAGATTTTTTCATCAACTACTAAGACTGCTTCCTTTTGGTAGTTCGAGTCAATGAAAAAGTGTTGTGTGTCTTCAAGATAAATTTTAGCTGTTGATTCAGAACTTGGATCTTTGTTTAGAGGTATTAAAAAAGATACTTTATGAATTGATCTAGGCTTCCAAGGCAAATATGTAGCAAGAAATCCAGAGAGAAGTGGTATCTGGAGAGATACAGCAGTAGACGGACAAATACTTGATATACTAGTGGTATCATTGAAATATTTTATTAATCCATATGTCAATAGAGGCAAATGAAAAGGATCACAAGTAGCCATTTTATTGCAGAAGTTAGATGGATAAGGTGTTGAGACAGTTGCTTGAAGTTGTGGAGGTATTGGCTATTGAAAAACATATTTTTATTCTTAGATATAAGGCAATTAGATTTTTTTCTAACTTATAAAACTCTTCTATATCTATATTCATATTCATGTGAGTACTTACTTCAGCATTAGTATCTAATTTGGCTATTTCATTCAATGCATCAGTAAGAATATCTGCCACTACAGTTAGAATTTCATCATTCTTAGATGTTGACACGATGATTTGATTCAGAATATGAATACTCTTGTTGCCATGTAATGTATCAGGGTTTAGATCAAAATTATCAGCTATTTTAATGCTGAATTCTTGAGCATTTGTCGATTTATTTTGATTTGATTGAATAATAGTAAATGGATCAGTTACTGCTCCGGCCTTATCTGCTATATCTTTGTGAAGACGCATTATTCTATTATAGCTTGTCGTATGTCCCAGTCGATTTGTAATGGTTAACAATTGTTTTGATCTTTCATGCCGAAGAATTTCGGTGCCCAATAAAATTAAAACAAAATATACATATATGCATTTCAAACCATAAGACACTACTTGCAATGCTTCGGTGTAATTATTCTCTTATTTTGTATGAACATTAGATCATAGCAACATGAAGAAATCTTCAGCGATTTTGATGATTTCATATAAACGTCTTTGTCAATAAGATCATAAAAATAAAAATTTGTTTTAAAATCAATAAATGAATTTTCGCTTAAAGTTAATGTACCAATAAAATTTTTTAACATAACAGGAACACAGTCCCAAAAGAGATTGGCATTGAAATTTATTAACTGTGAAGTACTTTCCATCAATGGTTGAAACATTTCCATATGTTTCTTCATTGAATCTCGAAGCGATTCAATTACTTCGAAAACTTTTTCACCAAGTTCTCTTTTATTACTGCTTTCAAGCATAGTTGGTCGATGCCACACATTAGTTTTAGATAGTGCAGTACGAACATAACATGAAACATCGGCTAATGCAACATGAACCCCCTAAATAAATAAAAAATATGATTTAAATATCTGTTAAGCATACCATTTAGATATTTGATAATGCTTCTATTCAAAGAACTTTTAAAAAATTGTCGCTAATTTGCTCACCTCACAATTGCTTAATTTATCAAAATATAGTCTGTCGCCAAATTTATTCATTAGGCGATCACGAATTGAAGTTGTTCGAAGCATATGCAGGGTAATTTTTTCTTGATGTCGATTAAGAATATCTTCATATTGTTTTGCAATGTCTTTAAGAGCAACGACAAATCCATCATGAAGCACTGAAAGTAACCAAACATACAATTCTTCAAAACTGTTCGAATAAGAGCCGTTCGTTACACTATATTCATGATATAGTGGTAGTGGTTTGCGTTTAATTATTCGTCGAAGGCGACGTTTAAACAAATTAGTATTAATCTAAAATCAAATATAAATAAGAAAATGTCATACTAATCGAGTACAATTACTTTTCTTCGGGTTCGTTTCGGTGAGTTTCTTGCTTTTCTTTTAAACCCATTTGGAATTATAATTTCATCACTATATTCGTCAATGTTGGTCATCAAAATCGATAAATCATCGACATTTGAATCTGTTGCACGTATATTATTCTAAATTAAAGCCAATTATAACAAAAACTAAATATTGATCAGTCGATTGACTTACTTAAGTTAGTTGAGGTGAAGTTTCATCAATTGATGTTGTTGTAGTTAAATCGATTGAATCTATTTCTATGGATTCAATACTGGTTGAGTTTGTGAAATAGTCTTCTTCTGCATAAACATCGTCCCAAGTATTCTAACGGAAATTAGAGTCGACTAAAAGATAAATATGCATTGTTTTTATAAAATTTTGTGCTTACCATTGGCATATCGGGTAGTTCAAATGTGAATGTTTCCTCTCTCATATCACTGGCAATGAATAAAGTTTCCGTTGAATTAGTTGAGTTGATATTTTGTTCGACTTGTGCAAATGATATATTATTACTTGAAATTGGACGATCAATAGTAATTGATGAACATAATATTGGTATTTCGATGGCACTACATTCAGTTGTGTTTTCAGAAGGATACTAGAAAAAAAGAATTCTTTTTATACTACCCACGGAAAAATTTTTCAACCAAAACCGCGGTTATTGGTGGTTTACCAGTTGCGACTCTCAGCGGTTATTTAGAACCGCGAAAGTCAGACCGTTTATTAGGTTTTTTCACACCACCCGAAACCGCGGTATCCTCAAACTGCAGTTATTAACGTTTTTTGAAAAAAAATTAATTCATCATATAATGGTATATTATACCTGGCATCTATGCGGTAATCCT